GGTTATCCGATTACATTTCGTCGCCACCAATCCTATGTAAAGGTAGGGTATTGCTTAACAATTTATAGATGCTATATCCGATCCATATTCAAGAGATACTGGTATGTATATAAGTAGAATGCTTAAGATCAAAGATAATATATAGGTACGTAACCTTTCTAGAACGAAACACGGGGTCGGGATCGGAGTCCGTCTCGGATTTTGGTGTGGATCTAAGCGAAATATGGTCGGGCGAAGGGTTGGTTCGCCTTTGAATCGTGTCAACATCATTCTAGGTCAGGTCACTTGTCTGTCGAGTCTGGCTTACGAATAGCGTTTCTAGTATCTAAAGTATGGATTATGAACCTCCCCGAGTAAATCCGCGTCCCGGGCGAGCGCTTGCTTGTTTACCTTGTCGGAAAAAAAAGCTCCGTTGCGACCACCAACACCCCTGCAGTAATTGCATGCGTTCGAGAAGTAAAATATGCTCTTATCCAAAACCAAAGGACGGTTCTACCGCCATTATCTCTGCGCAGATTGATTCTAGAGATGATGAAACCACTGGAAAGTCATCTCCAAACTTGGCGAACGGCAAAGACGAGGAGGAGCAGGGCTCAACAGAAAACGAACCAGCTCGTCGTGAAGTGTGGCATTCAGGCGCACTGGGATCGGTTTTGGTTTCTATTCCTCCCGGAAGTAGGCTTGATCTCGATGCCACATCCTGCCTGCCGGCAAGCGGTAGTCCTCTGCGCGATGATGGACAGCCGAGTACTGGAGGCCTTCACTCTCATTCCAACCTCCCCACGTGTTTAGACAATTATCCAATAGGAGGCATGGTAGTCAAAAAACGCTACATCTCTCCCACTCATTGGATGTTCTCATTGACATTGGTAAGATGATAGTAAATCCAAGATAGGTTTAAAATCGTTATATTAACCCCGCCAGCAGTCGCCGCATGCCTTGGATTGGCTTGATGAACAGATGAGAAAACAGGGGAAGATATGGCAAGAAATAATGACTTGCAAATTGCTAGCGAGGTCGATCAAAACCAAACGACTCCTCTCGTGGACGCCAGGTCGTTATGGAACATACTTACCATCCAAAGGAGTAGCGGACGCTCTATTTGGTGCGTACCTACGCACTTTCGAAACGATATATCGAATCATTCATATCCCCACTACTAAACGTATCTATGATACCTTATGGGAAAGTCCCGGCCTGGCGAGTCCGGCGCAGGTGGTTCTATTACAGCTCTGTTTTGCTGTCGGCGCTTGCTTCTACGACGACGTCTTCTCACTTCGGCCTCATGCGCACCAATGGATACGTGAAGCCGAAAACTGGCTTGAATCTCCAGGAAAACTTCGAATGACGGTATTTGACATTCAAATAATGTGCCTCTTACATCTGGCTCGGCAGACAGCCCATTTTCTCCGAGAGGCCCAAGTCTGGGCCGTTTCTGGCGCCGTAGTTCGGGCTGCAATGTCTGTTGGTTTACATCGCGATCCAACGAGATTGCCAGCAATGCCTGTTTTTGAAATTGAAATGCGACGGCGTCTATGGACAACAATTATCGAGTTGGTTTTAGAATCTAGCATAGATGCTGCGGGACCTCCGATGTTCTCGTCTGATGACTATGACTGTTCTTTACCCCTAAATCTAAACGATGCCGAGCTAGGAGATCTCGGTGAAGACTGCAAACCAACCTCCCATGATATGGCCGAACTTACCGATACCTCACTTCAAATAGCCTTAGGCCGGACCTTTGCTGTGCGACTCTCGGCTGCAAAATATTCGAACGGTATAAAGGTTGACAGTTCCTACCGTGAGACATTAAGACTTGGCTCGGATTTGATGGCTGAATATCGATCTTTAATGAGAGACCTACATGCTTTAAATCCTCAACCTACAGCATTCCAAAAGCGATACTTCGAGTTGATATTTAGCCGTTACATATTCTCTCTCCATTTACCTTATCTTCCCCGGGCTTTGAAAGACCCAGCACAGTTTCACTTCTCACGAGCCATCTGCATTGACACCGCTCTAAGATTGACATCCTCGTTCTTGCCGCTCTCGTCCTCGCGGCATGACCCTCTTTTAGTAGCGATGAATAACATACTTCCTTTCGAGAGCTACTGCTGCGACTATGAGCGCCTGCTTATTTGCGGCTCGGCTCCATTTAGGTCTGTGCCTTGGCAGGCCGTCATGGTCATTGCTGTAGAGTTAGCTGCGACACTGCACGAAGCACATAATACATCTCCATGGACTGGGGTAGTCTCCTTTAACCAGAAACAAAACGGGAGCAGATTTCGCAACATTGAGCTGCTGACGTGGCTTCGAGAAGGAACCAAATGGACGAAACAACGTATCCAAGCTGGTCATCATAATGTTAAAGATATCGTCTATATAACTGTGTTACTTGCTGGGATCGAAGCCGCAATGGAAGGCACCCCGCCTGAACCAGCCATGGATGTTAAGGGGAGGGAAGTCTTAGCTGAGGCTAAGTCTATTCTTGAGGTGGCGGTTGGTACGGGGACCACTGCTTGGGACACCGTTCCTGACCTAGGGAATGAGGGGCTTGGTGAAGCCAACGAATTTTGGTCCATGGGATTTTCTGGTATGGAGTGGGACAGTTTCGTTTAACGTCCAAGTATCTTAAGTAAGGTAAGTTTTACTGTCATTACAGTCCATCTCAAGCTGGAACATCATACTATATAATGTAATTACGATGCTATTATCATAGTCATGCTAGATGCATCCATTCTATCCTTACCACATTGAACCTTAACGGTAGTAAAGGGTACGAGCGGTTAAGAAACTTGGTGAAGAATATTTGTATCATGGCGAACATCACCTAGTATATGAGGTACCTAGTCTATTGCGTGGTTCAGCCATATCTTATAGGCCCTGTTCCGTCGCTAAACCAATCATCTGTAACGAGCGACTCCTCAGTCGAAGCGTAATTGATGATCGTACTCTTGATCGCCGTGTATGCATTATAAGCATCTATACCATTTTCGCTTCCGACACCACTCGATAGCTTAGTACCACCCCACGGACTACTTGGATCATTTCGATGATGTGTGTTTACCCAGGTGATACCAGCATCGAGTTGTTCTGAAACTCGGAAAGCCTGCGCTAGGTCTTGGGTCCAGATTCCAGCTCCGAGGCCGAACTCGCTGTCGTTAGCCAGTTTAACAGCCTGATTTTCTGTGTCAAAACCCATGATCACGATTACAGGACCAAAGGCCTCCTCGCGCCAAATACGTGTCCCGAGGATGCTATCGCCCTCGCACGAAACAAGAATCGTGGGTTCGTAGAAGTAACCCTTAGAGAAGTCAGTCCCATCTAGGGAGCTGAGACCGTGCATCCTGCTTCCTCCTGCTATTGTTTTTGCCTTGCCACTGTTCACGGCGTCGTCAACTAACATCTCGACGCGGCTGAGTTGTTTTGCCGAGACCAAAGGGCCCATCGTTGACTCTAGGTTGTTGGGCGCACCCATGCGTTGCAGAATCGAATACGTCTTCACTTTTAGCTTCTCTAACAGCTGGGACAAGATTTTATTGTCCACGATAATCCTCGTACTCGCAACGCAAGTTTGGCCGCTGGCAATAAAACTACCAAACGCAATCCCATTAACAGCAAGCTGAACATCTGCCGTATCAAATACAATCAGCGGCGCCTTGCCCTCAAGTTCTGCCGTATACCTTGCTAGATTTCCGCCCACGATTCCGCCGATTGCCCTCCCTGCTATTGTCCCCCCTGTAACATCTACCTTTTTTATTAGGGGATGCTGTACGAGTGCCTTTCCGGTCGTAGCGCCGTATCCAGGCAAAACGCTGAAAACGCCATCGGGCACGCCCGCCTCTTTTAGAATCCGACCAAGTAGTAATGTCGATAACGGCGTTAACTCGCTCGGTTTCAGAATGATGCTATTTCCAGCGGCAAGTGCGGGTGCGAGCTTCTTTACGGCAATAAGCAACGGATGGTTAAAAGGAGTAATCTGAACCACGACACCAAGCGGCACGCGTTGGAGGAAATTGTGCAGCTTCCCCGCGGTCGGTAAGACGGGCTGCTCCTCTACACGCAGAAGAGAAGCATAGTACTTAAACCAGCGCACTAACGAAGGAACCTGAGCATTCATCTCACGAATCGCGCGGCCAGTCTGTCGCACCTCGAGCGCGATGAGGCTTGGCAGCGACTCTGTGAGGAGCGCTGCGGATTTGTCTAAGATGTCAGCGCGGTAGTGGCGCGAGGATCTAGACCAAACGCCTGATTGAAAGGCCGCCTCAGCGCGGTCAATAGTGCGTTCAACATCGGACGCAGATGCCGTATGACAACTAGTCAAGAATCAAAGCACTAAATTAGGTTGCGTACACCTCTTATTTAGTGCCTAATGAATGGACGGACTCACAACGCAAAGACCTCTCCAGTCGCGGGGTCTTCTACTGGTAATCTATCGCGTTGATCAATAAAACATAAGCCTTAAGGTACGCTATGATACTAAAATTACTGCGCAATGTTAACTTACAGTTCCTCTTCGCCAACTTCTTCTTTCCCGGCAACCCACATGAGATAAGTTTGCGCCATTCTGGAAACGATTGGAAACGATGCCTTGTCAATATAGATTGTCGGACAATCCAAAATTCAAGTAGTACACATCCAACGGCACAATAATTGAGGATTCGGGTCTCCAATCTATCCGCGAAGCTCCGCATCGCATAGGCGCAAAACTTATCGGACTTGTCCGGAAATGTACCTAACGACATGTGACTGACCCTTACGAAACTATTTCTCGATATATACATATGTAAGATTTGACGAAGAAGCTTGTATGTATGTATATAGAAGTGTAACTACCTAATAAGATAGGTACCTACCTATGAGGTACATAGTGAACCCCGGTCTGATTGCCGATCTCCCCGCCGGAGTTAAGACTCCTAATGATATGACCCCTAAGTAAAAGTGTTGCAGGCTTCTGCTGTCAGACTGCTGCTGCACTAGCGAACCCACTAGCGTTCGACTTGTTCAGGAGTTTATAGACCAAATTGAAAGGCACAATTCAAACAGAATGCGCCTTAATGCTGTTATATCCGTTCTGGATTGTAGCTTAGCTTTGCATTGTCATTGGCCCCGAACTAGGAATACCAACAACCGTAGGGTTGCTTTGCTTTGCTGAAATGTGTGCAAAGGATAATGCTGAGCTCGTGAATCAGGTATAACCGATCGGGTAGCTGAATCTCTTCAGCTTATCAAGGCTGGTTTGATCATCCTCGGAAAAGGCAATTTAACAGTAAGTAAAGCGCACTTGTAAACAGTAGCCATGGCCTAATACCTCACGGGAGTTTCGCGGGCTGAAGTGTATCATCCTCTCACTTAACACGGAAGAATTATAGCTAACGTTCACCAATCGTTTAAGTCAAAGGTTACTCCTATATTGGCTGGAGTGCATATATGGGCCAGACACTTTCCGCTCACAAACTACCAGACTTAGAGAACCAATATCATCCTATGTGTATCCGTACAACGGCGAAAACATGGTTCTAATCGAGGCATCAACAGACTTGTGGGGGTTCAACATCCGGTCTGGCGGTTAGTAATGCTAGAGGCTTTTGTCCCTTAGCAATCGGCACGGAGACGGCTGACTCAACTGTTTCAATCTCACCGAATGGAATTTTCAAACTAAGCGAATCGTTTAACAGTATCTGTGTTCTAACCAGAACTCCTACCGACTCTCTACTCGCCGGGATTATCATGAAGCAGGAGGTTTTGTCAGAAAAAGTACCATATGGTCTTACCTCACGATTGGTAGGATCATAGCCAGAACTTGGTGTTGGCATCGTCTCAACTAATTAACGTATATCACACGATGCTGAGAAGTGGTGTCGAGAAGAAGTGATACGTCTCTCATCATCAACCCCTTTTAACGTTCTGTTTAGGTCCTCAATGGTTTAGGAAATATCTTTCTAATTTATACATAGTTTCCTTCCGTATATCAGTACACGAGCGCTGGGCTAGTATGATACCTAAATTCTTAGCCTATAGCACGCAGACCGAATTAATGAAACCTCGTGATAACAATATAACGGAGTATAGACACCGTGAAATTTGCGATGTGCTTCGGTGCACTGCCCTGGAAAAGGGGGTGGAGAAAGTCATGGAGAATAACGGCTTAGGTATTATCCTCGCCCCATCAGACTCAACACTGGTGTCTTACGCGGCTTGGGCTAGATAGTTGGTTGGGACTATGCTATTTGGTACACTAGACAGAGTTGGACAACCGTTTGGACTCTTTGTGCTGGCTCGTAAAGAGAGGACATGTTGTTAAGATTTATGGCTCTCTTCGAGCACTCCTGGGACAACTTTCGCTTTCGAGTAATGATATCAAATAGCCATTATATCAAGATCAGATATTTACATAGTTAAAAAACTACGAAATCTGTTTATTTTATTTTATTCTTTGTTTGTATTAGCATTAATTTTTATTCCTCAACTCTTCCAGGCATCACCTGTTCGTTTTTCAATTGCAGACGTAATTGTTTCAAAAAGAGCCCACGGGTTGGTGATAGTGTAAGATGACAATTTCAGCATTACCATAGGAGATAAGAATTATTTCTTATAAATTCTTGGAAAATAATACCTGTCAAGAACAGGTTGACCGTTCAAATCTTGTACAAGTTCTTTCATCAAGGGGCAGCTCTCGAGAACCATAAAACGAAATACTAGTAAGTATTAACACTCGAATTGACATGGAAATTAATACTCGACTTAAATAAGTTATGACTAGAAATACATAGTTATCCTAAAGTAAACTTGGATAGGTTAGGTACCTAAGGTATCTTTAGAGACTCGTAACGTAAAATAGTCAACTTCTGTATTTTGATATTACGGTTTCTGCGGACGCCTCCTATACCACTTTTAGTGCATGTAAATCACCTCGGTATCAAACTTATAAAAAGGTCAACGAGATACATGGTGGCTTTCCATGTTTGATTAAAGAAAGGCGATTAAAGTAAAATAAAATACCATCAGATGTCGTATCATTTGATGCGACTCGTTCCTTACGCTGCTTATTTGACCTTTGAGTTGAAACTTATCCGGTATATTACCTTATGCAAAAGCGGCCGCATAATATTGGAAACCTGAAGCGAGAGGGACTTCAGCATCTTCCGCTTACAGGATCTATCGACCTAGGCCTCGGTCCAACTTCAGATCAAAAAGAAGAAGAATCCTTATGAATACTAAGATCTTTGACGTTATTCTAAACCGAACGTAGCTAGTAGAAATTTCTTGGTTGAAGAACCCTTATAGAAATAACGTGCAATAGCGCTTTGACTTTAGCTATACACTAGTCGCTTCAAGATGGGGGGATGGAGAAGCTATACCAATGGCCTGGGCAAACCTTCCGTAATTAGTAAATAATTACCGAGCCTTCTAGACTGCCAAGGCACCGGCGCCGCGAGGTCTGGATCCGGACTCGAAGCCGGTGCAGACTTAGCGTGATAAAACCTTGCGAGCCTCGGGGCTCAGTTCTCTTTAGCTGGAATTTGATCCGAAGAATCGGGTGTGCTTTCTTCTTTCTTCTCCACAATCGATCCTGATTCACTATGTACAACGGGAGGGCTTCTTGGCCAAGCTGCAATCTGGGTAGAATGACAAAGATCGCTTAGTCCGATATAATCGCAAATCTATCTATTTGGTATGAGTTAGGTACTCGAAGGCAGAGAGATAATTTAAGATTTGTTTTTCCCGCCAGGAAGCAATATGTCTACAGACGGGGTCTATTAAGAATATTTGGATTCAAGACGATTTAACTTGCGTGAATTCTTTAGACTACAGCCGTTTTAAATTGAGAAAGCCACGAAGAAATTGCTGGTTAATCTCCTGCAATTCCAATATAAGCGTAATAATAAAATATGAGTAACGAATGGCAAGTGATTTTCACATGTAATGGAGAGAGCTGCTAGTCTGTCGCAACGGTGGAATATCCATATATGTATACGCGCTATGCACTACTGGGCACGCAGGAACGAAACCTATGAGGACCCTCTCGATCTCTCCACCAGATAAACGAAAACCTTGCAGGGCTGATCCTTGATATGGAGTAAACCTGTATCGATATCCTACTGGTCGACTGCATTGACTGACGCAAGCGCAAAATTAGGAACACCATACTATGCAAAATCCGAAGACAAGACTCGTGCTAAGTTAGGATTTTTTGTCTAGCGACTTCTATCCTTACGCAGTACACTTGTACATCTCTTATAATGACCAGGGATTCATAAAGCTGAGGTTTTAGATGGTTGACAGCCTTTCACATAAATGCCTTTGGTCCAGCCATCACCTAACGAGGACCCCTTAGTCCTGTTTCGAGACCCTGCCTTTTAACAAAATACTCCAACGAAGCCATACTAAGGGCCAATATAAAGAGCAACCATCTTTAGCAACAATCCAATAATCATAATCATATCGCATAAATCCTTACGACTAGATCGAGGGTTACCCCAAATCCTTCTTCGCGATCATGGGCCCCTCCATCGAATCAGTAGTTGGCCTATGCCACAAGGCCACAGTCCTTGGGAACAAGATATCCATTCACATGCTTGAGTATGTAGGAACCGTCGAGAAGCATGGCCATCAGTTCGACGAGCTAGCACATGATTTCCTAGAGACATGTCGGATAATGTGGTCGCTCGAGGCCGGTTTGACTGAATGTTCTAGGAGCAACCAGAGGTTCCCGTTTGAGATGATTACGGAACTCGACAAGAAATTCAGAGCTGCCAACAACGATTTCCAAGTGCTCGATCATATGCTGGGTCGGCTTCTAGAGTACGAGAAGAAGGGTACGATGGGAAAGATCCAAAAAGGATGGCGCAAAATGTTCGCCGATAATGACGTCGAAAAAATGAAAGACAACCTCTCCAAGACTCGCGAGGCCTTGAGGATGAGCGCTCTACTTTTCCAATGGTCCCTCGGAGATGCTAAGATAGATGAGTCTGTTGGGATTGGCTACACGGGCCTCGCCGCCGCTCTAGAACGCATGTCTAGGAATAAGAGTGCAGGGAGCATTAGTAGGATGAAGTCTCACAGCAACAGCACCGTCGTTAGCCATCCAGTAGACGAAGTTCCACCTATCTGGCCGCTCCCTCCCAATAGCAAAAGTTCAGTTACAGATCATTCATCCATGAGGCCGCGTGAAGAGGCACACAATCCAGGCCTGCACCTTCTCCCTGAAATACATCGTGAGCCTTCAATATCCAACTATACCATCGGCAGCGGGGCATCCTCTCGTGGCGCCCGAGAACGAGTGGTATCTACACTTGATACCATGGACAGGTCTCATGCGCATAGTGCAGCGGCTTCGGGGGGGATCACTGAGGTGGATACGCTTGTCGAAGAATTAGACTCGTTTGAGCCGTATAAGGTCATTCGGTTGAAAGCTGAACCTCATACTATGCCCCGATGGAGCCCACGGAATACTGTTGGAGCAAACACGCCTGCGCTGAGAGAAGCATTACTCTCCGCTGTGGATTCAGGAAATCACAAACTAGTTGAGCAGCTACTGGATCGAGGCGTTTCTCCCGATAGTAGTCCCGAGGCCCATATCCTAAATCAGGCGATCACGCGCCACGACGCAGAAATTGTTCGTGTCCTCCTGCTCTTTGGGGCAGATCCAAACGCTCCCGACAACCGCAATATGACACCTTTGCTTTTAGCCGTCGAAGAATCTTTCCGAGACGCTGTTATAATGCTGCTCAAGTAAGTGAATCGAGAGATACCCCTTAGGCGGGAACAAGATACCTCCCTCGGATATATCTATATCTCTTCGTCTCAGCACCCAGTCTCCCATTCTCTAAAGGAGAGAGTATAGAGAAAGCAAATTACTAACGGTTGATGTTTTTCTACTTTAGGTACGGAGCAGATCCTAACCTTGCGGCCGGTCCTGAATTCGAAACGCCCTTTGCCATATCTGTTGTCGAAGACAAATCCGATCTCACTCGCATCCTCCTCACTTATGGAGGTGATGTTAATCATACTTTGACGAGTGGAGATACCGCGTTGATGGCAGCTATAATCAAGAAGAGGACGAAGAGGGTTATTGATATGCTCCTCGAGTATGGCTCCGATGCAAACGCGAAAAATAGAGAAGGGCACTGTCCCCTTTATGAAGCTATTCTGTCGAACCGCATCGAAGTTGTGATAAGCCTCCTAGACCACGGCGCCAACCCCAACCTCCCCGGACCGAAGCACATGGTATGTTAAACGGACTCCCTTATCTAATTCTTTTTGGATGAAACACTAACTTGAGGAAGCTTTGGCCATCAGCAGGGCTGCCTCGAATCCTCGAGCTGCTTCTAGCTCGTGGGGCTGACCCGAAAAAAGCCCCTGGAGTCATGGAATTAGCGACATCTATCAACAACATAGAAGCTGTTCGTGTACTGTTGAAGGCTGGAGTCGATCCAAATGCCAAGAAAGATGGTATTTATACGCCTCTCTGCTCATCTATCCGCGACAACAGAACCGATATCTTTGAGCTTCTGCTCGCAAGCGGCGCAGGTGAGTTTTAACCACATTTCTCTCCACTGGGTATTCCTTCGCGATTCTGTGTGGATATCCAAACATTATACTTTCGGGAGTCATCTGATTTTGTGCTCGCCCGATAATTAGGTCCGAATGTGCCGAGCGCAGAATATCCTACGTTCAAATGCGTCACGCATTACCGAACGCAGTATCTAGCACCTCTCGTAGCTGCTGGTGCCGACCTTAACTCTCCAAAGGGTATACTCGAGACTGCCGTCCAATTCAAAAATGTTGAAGCATTATACTGGCTATTAGACACTGGGAAAGTTAACCCCAACGACAAGGCACCTAAGACCGGTGCTACGCCGTTGACTACGGCAATTCGTGAGAATCGTGCCGACTTGGTGGTGAGTACATCCATTCATCTAAGCTCTCCAGAGTATCGACGATCAGCTCTTAACAGTGTTGGATATAATTAATAGGATCTTCTACTATCCCGTGGCGCCGACCCCAATGTCAGAGGAGAAAACTGGCCAGTATGCATGGCAGTACACCAACCCACAATCTTGAAGCGCCTACTACCGGCGTTGGCAGAACCACGTGCTTTCAAAGGCGTAATGGAGATGGCTGTCGTAGCTAATCAGCTAGAGAGCATTAAATTACTACTTAAAGCGGGCGTAAGCGTAGAGGACCGAAATGGAGGTGTTTTCTCCCCGCTGACGACGGCCATCCGCGAAGATCGTAAGGAAATAGTGCACTACTTGCTGGTAAGTCTGTTCCAGACCCCCTAAAGAGGTATGCATGTGTGGGTTTGCATTGCTAATTCTACTGTCGTGCCTATGTAGGAGGAAGCTGGCGCCGATGTCAATGCACCCGGCGAGCACCTTCCTATAGTGAAGGCTTTGCGAAGAGTTCACGGAGCTGACACCGATATTATCGAGTTGCTCCTAAAACATGGGGCTGACCCGAATAAGATATACCGCGGTCACAACGCCTACATTCAAGCTATCGAGAACGGCGATGCAGATATACTTAAACTCCTCATTAACAAATCCGGCGTTGACCTCAATGCTAGGGATGACTCCGGCATGACGATAACAGAGATCGCAGATCACCGAGGTTGGGAGGAGGGCCGCCAGATACTATTGAGCGGAAGGGCACCTTGAAGGTAGATAGCGTGAGATTTCATGCTAACACAATCTTTTTGATTTATTTTCCTTTGTTAGCTTGCAACGCATGTTGCCTCTTGCGACGAGCTGGGATGCTTCATGAATTACGCGAAGGTCAGCCTGGATGAATATATTATGGCCTAACTAGACGTTTTCATGTATAATGGTACGTCCATGGCTGTATAATATTTATTTACATCTTAGTATAATTACTAGAAAAACACTCCAACGGGTACCTATCTACCTACTATAATATTCTACCTCAACTCTCCCGTCTCGTCACCGAAAAGCGACTCTCCGGCACGTAGAAACCATCCGAGAGTGGAGCATTTATATCCGCCAAGTTGAACAGTGGATGAGATGGACTGGAGTTAGAGTAACCCCATCGGAATTATTACTATAAAGCCACCCTAAACTCCATCATGATCAATCCTCTTTTCCCGATTCTGCAGACATCATAGTGGTATCTCCCTCCGAGAATAAGGGTCCACCAACACCCGACTTTACGGCGACGTCTCCACCTTTAATGATGTTAGCGAAGCCGCAACCTAACGACTCTTACATCCGAAATACCGTTGAACATAAATAAGGGGATTGTTATCCAGCTCGAGTTTATCCTTTTTCACAGCACTTAAGAACCAGCACGCTGTTTAGAAATAGTGACGAAATTATTAACATTTCATAACAAAAAATAACTTCAAGAATCAACACCATCCTCATCATCGGGGCTACCTCGGGCATTGGAGAGGCGTTTGCCCAGCGCTTTCACAGTCTGGGTAAAAAGGTCATTGCTACAGGTCGTAGACAAGACAGACTTGATGCGTTAGCTCAAGAGCTACAAGGCCTTGAGACACGCCAGGCGAGTAACTGATGCCTTGTGCCCAGGAAGTTATTTTTAGCGCTAGCAATTTAATAGTTCGACATTGCCGACTTAACTGGCCTTGCAACCAACGTAGAAAGCATCCTGAAGGATCTCCCCCATCTAGATTCCGTCATAATCAATGCCGGAATCCAGAAAAGCTATAGCCTCTTTGATCCGTCAACTTCTAGCCCCGAAGCCATTATCAACGAGATTAATACAGACCTGACAGTTCCCACTTTTCTCGTTCGCCTGTTTGCTCTGCACCTCTTTGAGTTGGCAAAGGCAGGAAGTAAAACGAGCTTATTCTTTACTACCTCCTCTTTAGCCTATGACCCGCTAAGCTTCTACCCGGCCTATTGTTCGAGCAAAGCTGGTCTCCAAACGCTGGCCAAAGTCTTACGACATCAATTGAGTTTCGCCCCTGAAGAGGCGAAGAAGAATCTAAATATAGTTGAAATCATCCCACCATATGTCGATACAGGCCTCGATCATGAGTATCGCGAAAACCTAAAGGTCATGCAAGGCGGCTCGGAGAAGGCTTACCCACCCATGCCACTAGATGAATACATCAATAAAATTTTCGAGGCCTTAGAGCAGCTTGAGCAAGATGGCTCTTTCAAGAAAGAAATCGGGGTAGAACTTGGAAAGCTAGTCGAGGAGACTTGCAGAGGTAGCTTTGGAAAGTTGTTTGAGCAGATGGGTCTTGCTGTGTAAATACCAAATACTTAATAATTCAGTAACAGATAAGAATATGAGGTAAAGTCACGAAGTCAGTGAGGTGTTCATACTAAATCGAAACGATATCAAAACATACAAGTATATGAAGTTCAAGTTGAATTAGGCAGTTTAGCCTACAACTCCTCGATTCAATTACATTCATCATTAGATCTGCCTATTTTAGCCAATTGTTAATAATCGGGTGAAGATCGTTACGTATTCGTCCCATGATAATCACCATAAGTCGCTAAGCCCATTTCTTTCTAGATATTCTTATTTTCAAGACGCACTTCCTCGCCGCTCAGATTTACTTTAGGACTACTCCGATGATGGAGGTGTTTCGTCCTCCCATTGCTTGAAATTTCATTATTACCTATCATTTATAGTTTCCGTGTTGAGAAGACAGAGCAAAACCTTTGGTGTGCCCGCCCATCAAAACCATCAATGGCCCGATCATCAGAATAGATAGGGCTATAACTAGTACATAGCTTCAACACTGTTCCAGGGACAATAGGGACAATGACCCCTACTTTTTTTGGCCGCATATTTATAGAGAAGTATGGATAAATACTCACGAGTTAAGCCATGTTCGTCATATATTGATGCAATGGTTGTTGACTTATAAATTGTTATCATCCCTGCCCTATTGAACCATCTCAACCCTTTCAAATATCACGAAGATGGGTAGCTGAGGAAGGACTACGCATCATGATTCGGTTTAACGACTCCGACTGCAATACGCCATTGTCAATTCCCCAATTACTTAGGTACTCAAGTTGGAGACAAACACGCCTACAAAAATATATACCTCACTGGTAGAGCATGCACCATGGCCGCACCCAAGACTGAAATATGACGAGATTTGCTATTATGTGCTTCGTGGAAGAACTTACGCTCCCTTGAAAGATAGAATGCACGGTCTAATTACTCCTGTCCGGTATTAAGGCATTGCCAGAGTCTGATTCGTAAGAATCTAACGTACACAGCCATCCAGACCACTTACGTCAGTGGTCTGCTTCTCCAATTTCTCCACAAAGGGCCCTCCTGGTCTAATCCACTCTGGCTCGCTTCTTAGACTCGCCATTTCCATTGGCATGACCATTCTCAGTTGGACCATCCTGAGTAGCAAAGTACTCCAAACTGCCCTTGGGGTCAGCTTTCATTCCCTTGCTGCCATTTTGCCAGCCTGCCGGGCAGACCTCGCCGTGCTCGTCGGTGAATTGGAACGCCTGAACAAGTCGGATTGTCTCTTCGACGTCGCGTCCGACGGGAAGGTCATTGACGGTGATCTGTCGCAGAACACCCTTAGGATCGATGATGAAGAGGCCGCGTAGGGCGACACCCTCGTCCTCAATCAGAACGCCATAGCTGCGAGAGATCTTGTGCGACTTGTCTGCCACCAAAGGCAGTTCCAAGTCTGAGCCCAGACCACCCTGCTTGCGAGGTCTCTCAGTCCAAGCCAAATGGGAGAAGTGAGAGTCGGTCGACACGCCGAGGACGGTAGTGTTGATGGCACGGAAGCGAGGCAGGGCATCGTTGTACTGGATGATCTCAGTCGGGCAGACGAATGTGAAATCAAGAGGGTAGAAGAGAAGGACGACCCTGTAAACGAGGATTAGCACGGAACAAGAAACTCATACGCACACACTATGTCGGTAAGACCGAGATGCAGACCGAGATGTAGAGAGACAACCAGGGCTAGCGACAGGAGCGACAGGAGGGGAGACAAACCATTGACCAAGGTAATCCGATAAGGAAATGTCCTTGAACTCGCCGCCGGGAAAGACGGTAGTAGCAGTAAAGGCCGGAGCCGGGCGCTGAACGAAAGCAGAAGACATTGTTGGAGATGATAGGTTATGATGATGATACGCGTATGTGCTTCTATGTGGTTTCCCGTCTTATAATTGGAAAGTTTTTAAGTGATAAGGTAAGATTTGGAAAGCCGATTTAAGGAAAGAAAAATATTTGGCAGTTCTTATCTGATCTCCGTTTGCAGTTTCCCAGGTTGCTAGGTTAACTACGTAACCTACTAGGCAACTACGGAATACATAGGACATTAAAAGCAAAGGACGGGAACTACGGGTTGCCATGGGGGTTCGTGCATGCTGCTCAGACCAAATCTCCACAAGCTACTCCTTATCATTATTTCGCTAACCCTGCCTAACTTAGACTCCTTCTCACTATCGTGTGATTGTCGCACGTCGGGACTTGTCGACGCGTTGGTGACCCACATACGGATGCTTTCCGCTTTCACTCTATAAAAATATAAAAAGGTACCTATATATCTCATTGTAAATTGACCAATCTAAAGTCTGAATTACGGTGAATTACAGCAGAGTTGCCCTCTTAGGTTGGCATTTGCCTGGGACATAGGAAGAACTCCTATATTATATAAAGGCTATTATTATATACCTACCTAGGTAAAGGGGATATCCTAAGGAGGTTCCTGAGTGTGGGTCAATCGCGTCTTACCTACCATGCTGCTACATAGGTAATCACTTAGACCGGGATCTTCAAACCTTCAAATATCTCTCCGATTTCGGACTCAATCTAAGGTTGTAGTTCCCAGCTGAATGGAGCCGCTTTCCTACCATATGCATACATCCATGTCACGCATGCATGCATGCATATGACAATCACTACAGACAACTTCAAGTTGACTTGTCCTAACTAATCTTCTCACAAAATGACATGAGGGCACCCCTGCGGTGCGCCACAATAGCCCGAGTTTTCGAAGGTAATATGGTGCTACCAGGGAATGGCGCGCGTATTTTGAAAAAGATAAAAATAGAAACCTGAAAAAGCACGTAGGTAATTCCACTTACATAAAAAATAGCCCGAGTTTACAAAAGTAATATGGTACTGCTGGGGAATGGCGCGTGTATTTTGAAAAAAATAAAAGTAAAAACCTAGAAAAGCACGTGGGTAATTCCACTTACATGAGGGCACCCCTGCGGTGCGCCACAATAGCCCGAGTTTACGGAGGTAATATGGTGCTGCCGGGGAATGGCGCGTTACGCGCGCCATTCCCCGGCAGTAGCGGCTGGAAACCTCAAACTCAAATATCAACCTTGAATAGACTTTTTTAAAATATATATATATATATATAAAATAAAAAATAAAAAGCATGTGGGCTTCGAACCCAGGCTTTTACTACGTATTGTGTTGGTGACCGTGGCTGGCCGGGGTGGGCTGGGCTGGGCTAAAAGTCAAGTAAAAAAGATACGTATTTCGAGAAAAGATGAAAGTGGAGACTTGAAAAAACACGTGAGAGCCTAGGGATGCACCCAATAAAAAGGCTTGAAAATCGCGCACAGACGAACTTCCTTTTTCGATGGAGCTTGTCCGAAAGAGGAAATCGAGGTTAGCAAGACAATATCCCTCGTAAACTCGGGCACTCGGGCACTCGGGCACAACCAGCACAGCAACTAAGACACACTTCAACGACTAACTAATAACTACATGTAATTAATATATATTAAGTACCTCTATATAGCTCTTAATATCTTTCACTATCTCAAGAACAGATAAGTGTATCATCCCGAGCCCATAAGAATTGTGAATGCTTCGTCACAAAGTTCTGATTTATTGACCAGCATTTAACAATGAAATCAGTTCTATAGGCATATTACTATAGGTAGCGAATACACCATCAATGTATCCATGTCTCAACTTACTATACACGTAGTACTCTGCCTCAACCCCGCGTTGGGGGGGGAAGGGGGGGTCATCCTTTTGCATAACCCACGACAGGCCTTCAACAATAGAGTCTTCGTACTTAATAGTAATATAAGTATTTTTCCCCAGCTACAGACACTAGCAGACATGTAACCAGATGTCATAGACAACATATAATCTAAAATGTCTTCAATCATAGTTCCAAAGGCTTTAGACCCAGGTGCAACAATTGCCTTCATATCGCCCTCAGCTCGACTTAATGACCAATATCCTGCTGCCGTGTTACGAGCTACCGCCGTACTCAAAGGACGAGGCTACAACGTTCGTGAGTTCTATAATAAGGATATAGGCATTCAATCATCTATTATCAACCGCATATCCGAGCTGCGCGCCGCCTGCCTAGATACTAAGGTTTCCGCCATTATCTGCACCGTCGGTGGGCCATCCTTCACGGAGTTGCTACCAGGTCTGATTGCCGATACGGATCTACATAATATCATCCGCGCCAACCCCAAGATAGTTGTAGGCTACTCCGATATTACCGGGCTACACTGATTTTTACACGCATTTACGGGACTCCGTACCTTCTACGGGCCAGGGGTCATCCCAGAGCTTGGCGCGTCCGAATCAGTTGATGATGAAACATTGCCACTTGCATTCTGTATTAAACACCTCTTCCGTGCTATCGCGGATCGGGAACCTATTGGCGACGTCTCGCGGTCGCCAACGTATGCGCATAAGCATCCTTCTTGGTTCCACGATCCGGCATCTATACACAAAACAGAGCTCGTCCCTACTCCCGGTTGGATATGGCTCCGGCCAGGCAAGGCGCAGGGACGGCTCTTTGGTGGCTGTCTATCCGTTATGGCACGTCTCAACGGAGTACGACAAATCGTCCCAGATTGGCGGGGCCGGATTATATTCTTCGAGACTGCTACTGGCGAAAAGTTTGGATCAGGAAACCCGATAGATCGGGTAAAGGCTGGGATTGCAGATCTTATTGCCCAGGGTGTTTTTGAAGATGCCGCGGGCTTAGTAGTAGGGCGTCCGTTCGGGTACGACTCTACGAAGCAGAGAGAGAAATATATCAGTGTTATCAAAGGTCTCTTATGTGATGGTCCGCTCTCTAAGAAGGAATTCCCCATTCTATTTAATGTCGACGTTGGACATACAACACCGATGGTCACCTTGCCGTTCGATGCGCTAGCTATATTAGACTCTGAAAAAGATCAGTTTGCTGTTCAAGAGTCGGGAGTTGTATGATACCGTAAAATCTAAGAAGCCTAAGTTTCCAAAGCATTTGAGTTAGTCCATTGGAGATTCTATTGAGATGCTTCCAATAGCTGAGTGTCAGATACCCTGACCACTGAAGCATTTTGGACCAAAGAGCTTCCAGCTACATCAATAGTTCATCTCAGATAGTTTCATGGCTTGTCTGTAGCCCACAGACTTTATTTAATCAGGTTACCATTAACCTCTAAAGTACATATATGCAGATCCGGTCTCATAGGTTTCGTTATATATCTAAAATTATATGAACACCATATTCGTCCTTCCCCTTTTGCCCTTTCCCTCTATGATCTCCTAAGGGAGCTACGTGGTTTTAGCTATAGTTGGCAAGGAGGAGGGTTGCTAAAATTAGGAGATGAATGCGCATTATAATGATCACTTTAGATGGAGGATGGTATGGCGTGCGTCGAAAGTAGAGATAGAACTGAACAACCCTTTTTATACCCATATAGACTGGATATTTTCGCGTAATTCTCAGTGGGCAACAGAGGCTATATATGGCATAGAACTGAGTATGTGAACGACCTGTTCAGAAGCGGAGTAGGCCATATCATCCGTATCAGTAAGATACGAGCCTCCAGTATCGTGACTAGATATTAGATTGAAAGACTGTATGCACTTATCCTACATGTTCTCTACTATATATACAAAGAAGTAAACTATAGCAACTAATCAGCCGCCTGAAGATGCTTCTATACTACCCTTTTCTGTTAGACATGATAATATCGGGAGGTTTGTGGTCGTAGGCCTCTCACCAGGCCTCCCATTTCTGTCCTCCGATTGCCACGAGACGGTTAAATAACTCATTCCTCATGGGCAGCGCGGTGATACGCCGTACATTTCCCGCCCGATCCGTGATCTCCAACCCGTCTGCCACCTCTCTACCTAGAGACCAACCCACAACAATTTTAGCCTTCCATCCATATCCGCTAATCTTCTTAATTTCGGCGATATTGTTGATTGCCACGGTCCATAGCGGGTGTAGATCTTCTCGCTCCACCGACCCGATCTTCTCGATTGTCTCGTCTGTGCTGAAGGATACCGCTGGGATCGTTGACTTCGTAGTAATATATACATGTCCTTTCTTACCATTGTAGCGGCCATTAAAATCGATAGGTCCGGAAACGTGGTTGATGTTCGACCGTGGAACAGCGCCTAGACGGTTCCTAGCGTGACGAGATCCCGCCTTCGCCCGAGCGTGATCGGACCCAATAGCCGCCTTAACTGCGCCCTTAGTTGTCCCCTTGAAGAAGCCTATGATCTTACTCCCGCGCTTACCGTGCTTGGGTGAGCCCTTTGCGGCATCTATGTCCGAACCACCAGTCTCGTATGCAGTTCGTGGATCATGCTCCATAGCCTCCTGAAGCTCTTCATCGGTTGCATTTAACGGGGGTTCAGCTCCAGTAGCTCGCAATTCGGCATCAGTAACTTCCGTAGGCCTTTCAGGTGGCGGCTCGTTGATGCATGGAGGCGGTGGTAGAGGTGCCTTATTAGCCTCACCTATGCGAAGCAGAGTGAGTGTCAACTGCGCATTGGTTGGTACACCTTTGAGGACCGTATTGCGAAGCTCTAGGAGCTTCTGCCAGCGAGGGAATGTGTGGTTAAGCCACTTCAATCCGCGGGCAACAATGGGATCCCCGAAAAAGCCAACACCTACTCCAAATGTCATCCCTTTCATAAACATATATGACGTGACGAATAAAGAGATGAAGAAGAGTGGTGTAATCAAAGCAGCAAGTCTAAGCTTGTAGACCCCCTTTGGGAAAGGCGACGTAGGAGAAACAGCATTTGCGAATCGCTCCCACGTATCCGACACATCTGCGATGCCGTGCATGATAGGTCTCATCTTTGACCACATTGCCGTCTCGACAGGAACTTTAGTCTTATCATGCTTCGAGTTGGTCTTGCCTCCGGCCGCAACGTCCTTTGCCTCAGCGGCTGCCATAGTTGCTCTTGTAGGATCAGGCACGGCATCATCATCATCAGGAGAACCTGTCTCTGTCGAGGGTGCGCCTTGCGGGTGTTTCCCCGTGGCGCTAGTAACTACGATAGAAGTAAAACTATTGACGAAGTTGCTGGCTTCCTGCTCGACAGCCTCGCCTTTGAAGTTTTGCGGCGCCCCAGTTGAGCTGTCAGTACTACCAAGTACGCCAGCCTTAGGTTTCTGTACGCCGCCGGATTTGGAATCTACTAAAGCGAGGGGCGCTGGTGGAAATAAAACCTCTCTCGACCGCGGATAGACGACCAAGGTGATCAAAGTCAATGTTAGAAGTGGGACAATCATATCGAACACCCAAGCGACAAAGTAAGCCTGTATGTACTCGTCAGTGCTGGCCACGAGAGGTATGAAAATCATCTGTGGTCATCGTTCGGCAAAGCTTACCGCGCAAAAATACGAGGTCCGTCGAGCCTCGCGCCACGAGCGTAACCGTGCAACATGCTTCACAGCTGCGAGTAATCCTACTACAACGGTCATGTAGAAACGCTCGATATTGGCGCGTAATTTATCGGGAGAGAATTCCTCCTCGTCGGCGATATTTAGATCCAGATCCCCAGGCACAGCAGTGGGGACTTCTTTGACGTGGTATACTTGCTATTGTGAGTCGGTTCTGTCAGTGCTCTAACCTAGCTACATATGCCAGTCCAAGCGGCCTTTTCGTACCTTGTTGAACCTACGAACAAGAAGCCATAGATCTTCGTTACCCAAGCCTCCGACTAGTGGCGCAGGAATATCATGCTTCTTCTCGTTCCAGCCTAAATCAACTACCTCCTCGTCGTGTTCTTGTTGAGCCAATCCTTTCTCTTCATGGTCGTCAGTCGCCAAAGCATGAGAAAGTGTTGGTTCTTCAGTTAGACTATTTGCCTTCGCGTATTTCTTGGGTTCGTTAACAGGCTGTGTCGTTGGCGGAACCGGAAGGATATCTGCAATTATGGTACTGGTTAGGGTTTGGTCCGAAGGGACATATCGCTTTATATCTTGATCAGTAGACATTGAGTATGTTGTGCGCAACAGCCAGCTAACTCTTAAATAATTAAATCCGTCGAGTTGAACGAGTCCCACGACTTATATACGAGGAAATAGAACTAGTACAGGCCCGGCGTCTCGAATTTTCCATGACTTCTTGCTCTTATTCCAAAGGCGATGTCCATGCTTAACCAATTATCTATAAGCTAGGCCGATGACGTCGATGGCTGTCTAGAGAACTTGTCTAGAGAACTAAGTCTGGTGGTGAAGTCTAGAGGCCGAACTCCTTTTAGCGCAGAGCCGGTTTACTATTTTCTGGGGCTAGTAGTCAATTGACATTTTATTCTTAGAAAGCCCATTTCCAAGAAAATCAGTCTTGATTATAAGTAGCATGAAGTCTCAATCAACTTTGAGGTCTGTCGCTAGGAAACAGCTGGTTGTTCTATGCTTCCTTCAACGTGGATGTCTTATAAAACCCGATTCTATAACAATATCCCTAAGTTAGCGCTCAGCCGCATTTGGGCGATCGATCGATCGATCAATCTACATCTAAGCGATCATATCGCCTATGTAGATGATAAAGGTAGCCATGTGGAACGCCACACATACCTCCCAGACTCCTACACAGTCAACGCGCTAATGAGCCAGAAGTTGACATCATTATCTCTATCAATGTTGTTAAGCAATTCGTATTACTTTAAGGGCAATTGTTGAGTAAACGGAACTCTGGGTTAAATTGCCACGCGTCGCAGCGGATGTCGATCCCTTACTGACCACATTCCATATTGATTCATCAAGTTATGCCTTTAATCCCCCGAACCCCCACATAACTATGACATGCCCGAGGTTTAACACAAACGTCTTCTATGACGACATGGCAACATCACATCACTGTGGCAGATTTTAAGTATTGCGTACATAGAAGAAGAGATATAATAATTTCCAGCAACAATGGCATAATAGAGAGATGTAGTTATCATTTCACCCACCTAATACTGTTATAGATATTAGAAGAAGATTCATCTAGTTTGGTCAGTTTCTTCTATATATTCCATCTGACGCATTGTCTCTTTCAAAGTAAAATAAATAATTAGATCTAACGTGCATCGCGGTCATCAAAATGACGTCTCAACTCGTTTTTCAGCTGAGCGGCTCTTGCAATAACTACACGTGGGGCAAGAAGGGAAAACAGTCTCTGGCAGCACAGATGTATGCGCAGACCCCCGGAACTGATTTCCATATCAAAGATGACGAGTTTTATTCAGAAATGTGGTTTGGCGATTACCCAGATTTCCCTGCTCGCAAGCTGGAAACCGGCGAACCGCTAGCCAAAGTGCTCCAGCACAATAAAGAGCAGCTTCTAGGGAAGAAGGTCATCGAAAAATTTGGCACACAGCTACCTTATTTACCCAAGGTAAGGTCCGCCTCTTGCTATAAGAAGCTAGCTTTGTTCGCTAGGTAGTAGAGAGAACTCACGAAACACTATAGATCCTGTCAATAGCAAAGGCCCTTCCATTGCAGATCCATCCCAACAAAGAACTTGCCAAAAGGCTTCACGAGAGGGATCCGAGCAACTTCACCGATCCAAATCACAAACCTGAAATTGCAGTAGCGCTTTCTAAGTTCGAGGTATTCGCCGGATTCAAGCCGCTTGACCAAATAGCGCCCCTCTTTCAGTTACGGTCACTTCAGCAGTTCAATCCCGAGCAGTCAGAAAAATGGACAGATGAGACACTACGAACCGCAACCAGGAACCTACTCAAATCCGATCTTAAGACGGTCAAGATAATTCAGACAGAGCTCGCAAAGACCCCGAGAGATCAACTAGGTGATGCAGCCTATATTCTAGACTTGCTTCCTCGTCTTCAAGACCAGTACGGCCCAGAAGACGCAGGCAGTTTAGTTGCACTTCTGTGCATGAACTTCCTAGTCTTCAATCCTGGAGACGCGATATGGATTCCTGCGGACGGGATCCACGCATATCTAGCTGGTGATATCGTCGAGTGTATGGCTCGGAGCAACAACGTGCTCAACGTCGGCTTCTGTCCACCCGGAGATCGCAACAATGCCGATCTGTTCGCGAGTACTCTGACCTTTAAGGCTCATAGTAGGGATGACGTATATCTCCCTAGCCAGAAGTCAGACAAAAGTAAGAAGGGGAAGACAGTAGTATACAGGCCGCCAATGAGCGAATTCGACATGCTCAAGATAGACCTAGGCGCTGGCGAGAATGAGGAGCTTACCGGGGGTGATGGGCCTGGCGTCATGATCGTGACTTCTGGGCATGGAGTAATGCATGCCGACGGTACAGACCATCGTCTCAAGGAAGGATTTATCTTCTTCGTTGCTCCAGACGTTCCGATTAAACTAGAGAGCCAACAGGGGATACAGATCCACATGGCTGTTGTGTGAATCATAACACAGTTATTGGGTTTAGCAAAAATCCAAAGTCCTGTTTAATGACTAGCATGAGTTATAATCTAATAAAATTCATGTCAGCTTCTAACGTCGCCAAGTACAACATGTGTTACATGCGCATCTAGCTTGAGGTACTTAGGCCACCTGCTATAATTATTACCTTGGATATAGCGAATCATTGGCGGCAATTAACTATTCAAAAGCCACCAATTATTGGATTTTGCCAAGGATACGACTCTATCTTACCTATTGAGAAATAATATGAACCAGACAAGTTCACCATTTAGGCAATTGACCGGTGGAATTTACGGAGGGTGATATCCCGGCAAATGTCTTATTTACTCCGGCCCCCTCCGCTCGCCTTGTTCGGGGTGTCGCCGTATATAGGCCTACTTGCGGAGTTCAATAAGATACGGAATAATTAAAGGTTAGGCAGTAAATAGTATACGAGACGCGTCTATCGTTAACCGGGATCTGTGAGTTATCGTTTCATCGTGACGCAGGCCTCGGTCTAGATCGTGTCGTCTGAGTAGCGGAATTAAATGCCCAGCTATTTTTTATAATCACCGGTGGGTACAATTTATGCCGTGTTAATAGATGACCTAGGCACCTAGGTTGTTAATATCGTATTGATATATAGATACGGTTGGCAATCCTCGTTTAAACGACGTTCGCCGCAGTACGAGTTTCCATCAACAACTTATCGCGTTTAGAGACACCATATCAGTCTCCCTCGTGATATTTTGACTATGGGTTTCCGCGGGGTTTGGTGGCTGCTGGCTCTAACTGCCACAGCTGCACCGACAGCTCCTACCACTATTCATCTATGCGGCGATTCGACAATGGCAAAGGGAGGCGGTGGCTCGGGAATCCCCACCGAGGGTTGGGGCGAGTACCTTCAGTACAGCTTCGGTTCCGATTATGTCGTGCGCAACTCTGCGATCGGTGGGAGGAGTGCAAGGTCGTTTACCCGTGAAGGCCGCTTCACGGAAGTGGCCAACATCGTAAAGCCTGGTGATTGGGTCGTTATCGAATTCGGGCACAACGACGGCGGCAGTCTAAGTACTGACAACGGCAGAACCGACTGCCCAGGAGATGGTGATCAGACCTGCCAAACGACGTATAATGGCGTTCAGGAGACAGTACTGACGTATCCGGCTTACTATAAAAACGCTGCGAGGTTATTCCTTGACAAGGGGGCAAAGGTTATCTTAAACTCCCCTACCCCAAACAACATTTGCGAGACTGGCACGTGTGTTAGCGAGACGTCTAGATTCGATTATTACGCTTGGTGAGTATCTCGAATCGGTGAAGCCTTATATACTTTCACTGACCATCTTGAAGGCATGCAGCTGCCGAACTAGCAAGCCCAGATGTTTATCATGTTCCACATAAGCAGTATGCAATTCAAGCTATGATTAATTTGGGCCCGACTACTGTCAACGCCAATTATCCAAAGGATCATACGCATACAGGAGCGTATATGGCTGACGTGATGGCTGGGAGCTTCGTGCTGGGTCTCAAGTGTGGAACAACTGCATTGGGTGCAGCTGTCAAGAATTCAACCGAGTCTCTAACGAAAACCTTCTACGGGGCTTGCATACCTCAGAATAGCACCGTACCTATTTAGAATAGCTTACCCAATATTTGAAAGAGGTTGTGCGAAAGGCTAACGTGTAAAGTAGTCAAAATTTATGGGCCATATGTGTTTTCTCGTCGTTTCATAGTAATGTCCAGACCCGTCTATGAAACAGTTAATTCATATATACTCATATATCATCTACTTATACGAATCGGATACCCGAGTATCTGACTCGGTTCTTCTCTATCGTCCGCTCAGCCTTTTCTCTAGATATCGGAGAGGGAGGTAGAGAATCGCTGTTATAGCAAAAGCCATCTCAAATCCAATGTCGCCTGATTTTTTCGCAATTGGACCCTCAAACCACACTTGCGACATGCTAGGGATCACCAACGCAAAGCTTAGAGCACTCGCCGTCAGAGCAGCGATTCCCCATGGTAGACGAGACGCCACGTTCCAACTATCGTGATCATATGTGTCGTATTTACCACCCCTGAAAACATTATGCTCTATGATTACCACTGCCACGAATGCGGCAGACCAATAACCGATGAGGGCGACGAAGTTCTCAAGACTGGACATGAATTCCACCGCTGCTCTGATACTAACCGGTATAACGATGGCCGTGATTACGACTGAGAACATATACCGCGGCACCACGACAAGCTGCGGAATCAATATTTGGAAGTTGAGAGTAATCGAGTACATCGTTGCGGCGATGTTCCCAAGTAGAGTTAGCGAGAGTACGACCACGACGAATTTTCCGAAGCCGCCAGCTCGCGACAACATCGCTGCTAATACGCCACCAACTTGTGTCGACTCGTACCCTGCTTCCCACTCGGGAATGCTATTTATAGCGCCACCGATAGAGGCACCTAGAACCATTAGTAATACCGACGGGAAGATGAGACCTGCATAGCCATATAAGAAGAGCCTCGCGCTTAAGACCAGTTAGTTCAGGGGCTAAACAGCTCAATAGGATATAATGATAACTTACGAGGAGAACTTGGGGTTTAAATATGTCGTAAAATCAGACGAAAGACAAGCATACGGTATCATATACGACGCTATGATCATCCCGAAGCTAAGGACACCACCGGCTGTCGCAGGCTCCGCTGGTGCTTGCTGGACGAGGCCCGTCCCTCCGCAACCGGTAGTGATGATGATAGCCACTAAAGCCGGAATCCAGGCAAAGCGTTCATATTGATGTAAAACGTCATATCCGCAAAAAGAAATGAGCAAAGCCATAACACCCATGATAACGATGCCAACTGCCGGAGTCAAAGAACCGCCGGCTACAGCGGATAAGCATTGACCCCCAATGACGCAAGTGACGACACAGAAGCCCGTGAGCGTAGCCAAGTTTAAGATAACCGGTACCGAAACTAAATATCTTCCAAACGAGAAGCGAGCCTGTATCATTTGACGTAAGCCGGTCTTAGGGCCAAGAGTACCAAGGTAGGCCGGTATGGAAGCAGTTAGGATGCAGAAGAAAATGATAACCAGAGAACAATCTCTTAAACTTAATCCATAAGTTGGACCTAGCATGCCAAATGTGATACTTATTCAGATGTTAGTAAACTGGCTCTACTCCCGGTTGACGGTACGTACGGATCCGTATTTGACAAAGACTTACGGTAAGAGGTTTATATTCATGCATGCCCATATCGAAAAGTAGCTGCTATAATTGGTAGCTGTCCGGTCTTCCAACGATACTGGCATAACTCCTCGATCTTCAATGGGGCCAGCCAAGATCAGTCTCGCCAGAGTCTCCCGAAACCTCTTCAATGAGGTATGGCTTTTGGATTCAACAGCGTCGCTTTGTCCGACAGTCTTTTCGACATCCTTGCTGATTGAAATTGGTTCATTCTGCCTGCTATGTTCACCTTGCCACATCATGACGGTTTCGTCCGAGTTAAGATATATGTACTTCGTAGATGGTACGAAATAAGATCTTCTAGGAAGTCGTAACTAAGAGGTAGTTACTCGACCAGAGTAGGCAACTAACAAGCCTAAATCGCTTAAGATCCGTCCTATGAATCTAGGTTCCAGGCGCTCGGGTCCCAAAAAGCTTATCTCTTCAATAGAAATTCTTCCAAAGGATCGACGAGGGTTGGTGATATCACACGTGCGAGGGCAAATAATTTGGGAACAGGATGATCTAACCCACCACAGGGCTCCGAAGTTCTAGACCCAAGAAATAAGTGCATATACAGGATGTCCTCGCCAGTGGGAATATGCAGAAGCCTAGGCTTAGCAAGAGTGCGAATAAAGTGATGTAATTGCCACGAGAAATAAAAACTTTTCTGTCATCTTTCAGCTAACTAAAAGCTCATATGCCCCGTACAGTGTATCTTATACCAGCGCTACGTGAATAGTTTGGTTTAACACTGTATAGTCTCCTTTATCTCACCGAGCAGAGATACGCATCCGAGAAGTCATCATTAATCATGTTATATTCTAAGGTACTCTACTCGGGGGACAAAGAGTCTCATATTTTGAACCGTTTAATGTTTTATTATAAGATGTTGACTTCGAATTACTTCATATTAAGAGCTCGACATGAGGTCAAGTTCCCAAAACAGCTCACTACAAAATCATTACAAAATTATTTGATCAATACATGTGCCCAACCTAGATGGATACCTATATTGTGATATATCCAATACGTTGGTTGGTAGTCGTGAAAAGTATAGTAGCCCTTGCAACCAATTTACATCGAATCATCGCCAGCGCCACGAGTTTTTGCCCTGCTAGCAGCTTCTCTTCCTGCTATCCTACCCATCACGGTACCCATAGTCAGCCCACTGCCGCCGGGATAGTTATCCCAAAAGAGCCCCCCTAGCAGCTCGCCCGCGCAATAGAGTCCGTCAATTTTCCGGAAGGTTGCCTCGCTCAAGACCTCCGCGGCGCGTGTGACCGCCAATCCACCGAACGTAAATGTAACGCCGCACGTCACCTCTACAGCCTGGAACGGGCCATGCTCGATGGGCATGGCCCAGTTGGTCTTGCCTATTTCGAGTGACCTCGAGGTGCCCTGCGTTGACATGCCATCTTTCACGGCCGGGTCGAACCTAGTCCCGGGACATTCCTGCTGGAAGCTCATGCAGGCGGCGTTGAATTCGGCAATCGTCTTAAGAAACTGTGTTTTGTCCTTTAACCCCTTCGTCACAAGTATGTTGGCAAGCTGGTCGAGGGTTTCAGCCCTAATATTCGCCGTCACGTCGTCTGCGTATTCTTCCTGGCGCAGAAATCTACTGCCATTTGCGTCCCAAACTTGGAATGCGATACCCTGCGGTTGCTTCAAGATCTCTTTTCCATAAACAGCATAAGTGAAATTACGTAGGTCGAAGCCCTCGTCCACAAAGCGTCTACCGTCGATGTTCACCATAATACCGAGAGGATAGCCCGACTTGGTGTATCGGTTAGTTAAGACGCGGTTCCCAGACGCAAGAGGTGAGTTAGCGTCCCAAGCAACGGAATGGCAACCTGAGTAGTTGCCCTCCAATTTAGCCCCGAGCTTCCTAGCCATCGTATGGCCGTCTCCAGTATTGTATTTAGACCCTCGAATATGAGCTAAATCCCAACCGGGACCCAGATATTGGGCGCGTAATGCCGGAGACGCTTGAAACCCACCACAAGCCAATACGATACCTCCTTGGGCGCCAATAGTTCTTAGGCTCCCGTCCCTGAATACCTTGACACCAACTGCTCCGTCTGTTGTAGGATCGGCGATGAGATCAATTGCTGGGGAGTTGAAATGAATATCTACTCTATGTTTCCTCGCAGTACTCATATGAAATTCGAATAGCTCCTTGCCTTGGCCTATGTCAAGGTATCAATATCAATATCAGTATCGAGAATAGGGGCATGCCAAAGAGACGAGGTCAAGTAGGGATCCTACCAGCCATGTTCATAACCATTCCGCCCCAAAATTTATACTTCCCATCAATGAAGAACGATTGCCTATTAAACGAAAGTATGAAGCGGGCGCCATTATCCATCAACCACTGAACTGATTCTCTCGAATTATCCACAAGGATATCAGCGAGCACCGGATCTGCTCTTCCCTTGGTAACTCTATTGATATCCTTTGATTAAGTCAGACATAGTTAACTGGTCAGAACTCATAATCGAAGCTTACCGCGTGGAAGTCGGCTTCTGTGTAAGGCGCCATCTCGATCTTATCAATATGACTCTGCGGCAAGCCTTTCGTGCCATCGGGCTGGAAGAGGTTGGGTAACAAATCTTGCAAGCCGTCAAAGCAGCACCTGAATGCAGCCGCAGTGTAGAATGTATTGCCCCCCGCGTCTTCAAGAGGCGCTTTCTCAAGTAGACAGACCCGAGCACCAGATTGCGCTGCGGTAATGGCCGCGGAGAATCCAGCATTACCTCCTCCAATCACTACGACGTCGTAGCTCTCGTCAAAATTCATGGTGCACTGAGAAGACAATTGAACACCGGAAACCGGAAAGGCCATGAGTTTGTTGTTCTATAACATCAATCAATGGATGGGGGGAAATTTATGCCGGCGAATGTATAAGTCTGACCAACTCCAACTTACTCCAACTGAGAGGGAGGGACAGCATTAAATCGGCAATGATGGGTTTGAAATCCGGAGGCCGAATACTCCTGTACTGCCACCTTCGTAGCCACCTATTAATTGATGGATACTTAGGAGAGAAATGTTAGTAATCTTAGTTTTAGGCCGGGGAAGATTAAAGCATCTACATATTGTGATAGACACTAAACGATCTTAGGAACTATTGCTCCGGTAACATGTTTATAAAATATTCGGTAGAATGTGGCCGTCTAATCAATTGAAGGCTTCGATACAGTCCTAGAGATACAGCTTAAAAATTAACGAAGCCAGTTTGTCTTAAATAATATCCCGTTCGAATGAGGAGAGAAATATATTTAATGGGTATCAGTTATTATATTATCAGCATAAACCTAGGAGCTAGATAATACATCCTACCTATCACGTCGCGGATCAACAGCCACTACTCTAGCTCAGCTATCTTTCTCAAGTTTTAATGTCATGATATCTCTTCGTTGACTGACGAGTCCACAGCGTCATGCCAACGCTTTATGCGGTGTCGTACAGACCGATCATATTCAGGCATGGTCATGAGGGCCTTTGCAAAGGAACCGGGGGCCTCCCTAGTAGCTAGCAGAGTTAACGCCGTATTTACTCTCCCAAGGAAAGACGCAGTTTGTGCGTCAAAGCGGAGACCACAATGGCGCATTTCCTCGAGCAGGTTTAGCACTCCGGATAAGTCGCCACGGCGGGTCCAGTAAATTTCCAGAAGCTCGTTATAGAAAGGTGTTGACACGCCGAGGATATATGACTCGAGTCCTAGCTCCTTAACCCGGGGTAGTATGGAGAAGGCGAGAGGCGATGGCACACGAAATGCGGTGTCAAGACGTCGCAATGCGAGTAGGAGATATTCCGGGTATAACGGCCCATGTATGTAGAGACTCAATTCATGGGATGGGGTGTTAGCTTCGGTGGATGTGACGTCCGTTTCTTCTGGGATTATTTCCGGCGCATCTACACTCTCGAGAGTAGCGGCTGCATCTTCAAGATGGTCCACCGTCTCACTGGCCATAACCGCTTTCGTCTTCTTCTTTCTCGGCACTGTAGTCTCTGTTTCTACCAATTTGGATGCGTTACCGCCAATACCAAGTCTGGTAGGCATTACGAACACTTCTTTTTCTAGGACATCCCAAAGTTCGAAGTCGGTCTCAGCAGCAGTGATTAACCCTTCGACACGGGTGCGTTCAGGGTAACGCTTATCCTCTAATTCTACAGTGCGGTCGACGGCATTTGTGGGCACTTTCCAACCTTCATCAAGGTCTCCTCGGCTGGCCGCGATAGAAGCTTCATCATATGCGATGTCATCACCGCTCGGAAGACTTGATTTTGAAGGCTGGATAGTATCGAACGCCTTGCTAGCAGCAGCGCGCAATTCGGGTGGAAATCGCAGAAGAGCCTTCTGCCGATTTTGGGTAGAACCATCCGGTATACCAGGGGTAGTAAAGGTAGCGGGGCGGATCTGGTTAGCATCTTGGACAGCTTGTTGCATTATAGATAGAGTAGTGCGAGTAGCTGAGGTTGCTGATGATTCTTCGGGTACAAAAGGCTTAAGACCACGGGCTTTTATATCGGCAAAGATACGCTCAAATACGCGTCTCTCCGACGGGGTGATGGTACCACGACGAAGAGGCTGATCTGGCGGAGTTTCATCTTTAGGAACATAAGAGGCAAATGGTATTTCATCACCCTCTCTTAATTGCCGCCGTGTGGCGTGTAAAAAACGAAAAAGTGTAAGGGTAATTCGAGGATTCGTTCGTAGGATAGTCCTCGTATTATAAAGGAATGGTAGCAAGGTCGATGTCATTTTGAAAAAGACAAATGAGGATATAAATCTCGGTCGATAGGTTTTTTCCTTTTCTTTTGAACTATTTTTTTTTTCGTTGTAACTCAAGCTGGAGGGATATTTTCCTCTTCTTATCGATAAGATATTGATTTTCTTCTATGGCTTAGCGGCCCTACTCTACCACTCTAGATGACGTAATAATATGTACAGGGATACGCGTTAAACGCATGACATCGCGTCTTCGGTTCAATGTTCTTAATTGATGTTCTTAATTGATATTTCTCATTCCTCTGCTCTAGTTTAATCATTTCCATCATCACTCATGCTTGCGCTTTTCTCGTGCAGCTTCGTTTCATTTTTCGGTCAAAAGATGATCTTGTGATTTGATTGCTATTTAATTACCATTCTCCATCTTTTTCTTTTCCTGTCCCCTATTCCGTGACAAGTTAAAGCAAGAAGAAGATAGCGTCTCTATCCGAGGCGACTGAAGCCTAATTCACCCCCGGTCACTTTCATCGCACATCCAATATCCAAGCATATCTTAAAGTCCTCTCGTGTCAAATCTTCCTTTTCATTTTTATCTACCTATATTGAGCGGTAGTAACGCAATTACCCTTTTCTCCTTTTCTCACCATCGGCATCAAATCTCGCAATTCATTAGACCTAATCATCATGGCTCCCGAGCTAAGCACTTTCGAGGCTCGAAGGAGAGCAAACGTGGTTAACAATGCTAAGTTGCTAAAAGAATCGGCCGAAGTCGCGGCCAAGATGCGCAAGGCCGCAGCTCCGCCGCCGCGAGCAACTGCACCCAAGAAGAGGAGAGCTGCCGAACCAGCCCCTCGTACCCGTATCATGCCTACCCGTCAGAGTGCAAGACTTGCCGGAGCTGGTGCCGAACCAGGTGTCAAGCTTGAAGACGTGCCTGCTGAGTTGAAGCCGCCCGAACCCAAACGCATTCGCACAAGTGGTGATTTGCAACTGTCAAATCTTCAAGTCGAGGGCCAGAGATGGTCAAGTACCAATGCTCTCGCTTCATTCGTTCAAGGCGCCCAACCAGGCGTTCGAACATTCACCGAGGATGATATCAAAGATACCTCGGACAGCAAGCTAAAGGACCTCAGAAAGGAGATGGGCGATCTCATGCTCTACGATGGCTGGGTCCCGAATGGTAGGTGTTTACGTAAAGGATCTCTACCGTAGAATCGTAGTATTAACCACACGCAGATATCAAAATTACCCCTGAACGTGTATATTCTCTCACATTTCATCCCATACAGGATAAACCGATCATCCTCGCAGGTGATAAGAAGGGCACCTTAGGCTTTTTCGACGCATCGCAAGAAAAGCCCACCTATCCTGATGAGGATGACGAAGACGTCGATATTCCTCTACCTCAAGTAGGTGCCTTCGAAGTACATAGCAGGACTATCACTTCCATAAAAGTGCCCGTATTCGATCCAAATTCGGTCATCACTAGCTCTTACGACTCGTCAATACGTTGCCTGGATTTACAGTCGCAAGTTAGCACCCAGTTATGGCAACCCGATGACGACGACATCGATATGGGTATCTCGTGCATTGATATGTCGCCCGAAGCTAAAGACATCATCCTCTTCTCAACTCTGGAAGGTACTTTTGGAAGATTTGACAGGCGTGCGAAGACCAAAGCGGAAATCTGGAGCTTATCTGACAATAAGATCGGTGGCTTTTCCCTAAACCCTCTCCTACCCTATCTTGTAGCGACGGCATCGCTTGATAGGACATTAAAGATATGGGACTTGAGAATGATCAAGGGCAAGGGGGATCTTCGTCGCCCATCATTACTAGGCGAACACCAGTCTCGATTGTCTGTGTCGCATGCTTCATGGAGTCGAAGTGGCTGCTTAGCAACATCATCCTACGACGACACGGTTAAGGTCTACGATATGACCGACGCAATGAAGTGGAAGTCTGACCAAGACCTGTCCGCCAAGCAGATGAAGCCGGCGCACGTAATTCCTCATAATAATCAGACGGGCCGCTGGGTAACCATTCTCAAGCCGCAATGGCAAATCAACCCGGCGGACGGTGTGGAGAAGTTTGCTATTGCCAATATGAACCGGTTCGTTGATATTTACGACAGCAAGGGAAAACAGCTCGGCCAGCTGGACGGCGAAGGAATTACCGCAGTGCCTGCAGTTGCAGAATTCCACCCTACATTGAATTGGCTGGTATGTATTTCAGATGTGTTTGGTGTCTCGCCGCGCTGGTTAATAGCAATACTAACTTATTTTGTGGTAGGCTGGCGGGACTTCCAGTGGAAAGTTATGTCTCTGGATGTAGGGGCAGATGAATGGACAAAGCAGTGTATGATGGCTAGGGAGTCAATGAGCGGCGAAAGGGCGGGGATTTGTAGCAATAGCTTTGGCACTTGTACAAACTACGATATTGCATCCCATGGCAGGAGAGCCATGGAAATGATGTACCCAGGGTATTGGCGTAGAGACACGATTGGCTAGTTCTAATCTATTGTGTTGTAGCAATGGACGATGACGTTCCATCTCGTACTTACGCGTCGAATAGCAGGCATACTACGAAGTAGCTAGTAATAACTAAATCCAGCAAATCTGATTATTGTTGTCACAATCACAGTCTCGACATATATGCCCGCCAAGAAAATGTTGAGATGGGAAATTGTGAATGAAAAGGATTGAACTAGGCCTTACAAAAGCCGTAATTCGTTTCCATCCCCAACTACGTAATCCATAAGATGTAAGTCTGGATTTGGGATGGTGGGAGGACTAACTATGATACGCTTCAGGGTACAAGAGGAGGCATACGTAGAAGGATGATAATCGATCCTATATTCCCAAGCCCAAACGTCTTTTAAAGTTTACCAAGTAATCTATGCATTTATGATAGCACGAGCTTATTTCGCTTTGCCTTGGGGTCTTTAGGCAGTATAAGTTACGTGTAGTACTATAACGTAAAATAAGGAGTTGATGAGGCATTTAGATGTAGCCATCTGACCACGAATCCACCTCTCTGCTAGCCTCTATCCAATATAGTGCCAATATAGCACTTCTTGTCTCGTCAAGATATTTCCAGATGAAAGTAAATCTCAAGTTATTCACGGTTGTATTATTTTATGGTATAAGGTATTTAGTATAAACTCCGGATAGGGGCGTACCGGCCAGGCTTATTACCATTATATCCCATCCGGTGAGAGCTTGGCAGCCAACTCCCTTAGCACACTCTCATGTCCTTTTTATCCCATAGCCGAGTAAGCGTCTGATATCACTCCACAAACCATGTGCATAGCCTCGATATCGTGCGTACAGGGTCCGCTATGTTCGTAGTCTTGAAACCCATACGATTATGAAGCGGGTTGGCTTCTGCTCGTGCTGGATTTGAAAAGTGATATTACATCCCTTATAGCGCCCTTGATATATTCCAGGATCCTGTTCAGAGCTATCATAACAACATTACATCGTCTTCTAGCTCTGGCTCCGGCTCCGTATCCGCATCAATTTGTAAAAATTCGTGCACCAGCGCCTGTTTAGCGCTGATCCTCTTTGTCGGGTCCAATTCCATACACCTTGTCAAAAACTCGATGGCGCCCTTCTCCTCTTCTGTCAATGTGCTAGGTCTACCGTCTTTGCTCACATCGCTCCTACACGTGCTCCATAGCATGATCTTTTCGAAAGTAAAGCCCCTCTCGCCGATAGTAGGTATATTGGTGTCGAAGACGCAGCCGTGCAGTTGCCCCGCCATCTTCATCTTTTTTGAGCCGAATATAGTGGCGATCTCAATTAGCGCCTCGACGTCATCCGCACTATTGAAGAAAGGGAACCGTTTACAGAGAATAGTTAATAAAATGACACCGGCGGACCAGATATCTATCTTCGTCGTTTGTTCCGTACATTTGAATAAAACCTCGGGTGCCCGAAACCCACGGGTGCCCGCCCTGTTGGCGCGACGAGAAGGACGGGTATCATTAACTGGGTAGCCTGGCTGCGGACCAGCTTGGGCCGAGCTGAATGCGACAGACTGCTGCAGTTTCTGCTTCCTCACTTGTCGATCATCATGGCAAATGCATGGCTTGGTGTCTAAACCCTCCCGCTCAGCCAATCCGAAGTCTACTAGAACTCCGCGCTTCTTGTCCGGATCGTAGAGAAAGTTGGTGGGCTTAATATCCCGGTGTATAATGCCTTTTTCGTGTACGGCAGCGAGAGCTGTGAAGAGGGATCGGAAATATACTCTCATATCGTAGACGCTCATGTGGGGATAGTATTTTCTAAAGTCTTGATGGCGGAAGTAGGGAAGGATAGCGAGGACCTGATCTGCTTCACGGAAGGCCGTGATGAGGGGGCAGACAGAGTGGGAATCCCGTAGATCGTGGAGGAGTTCGAGCTCGTTGAGGATGCGAGCGGGCGAAGAAGTTACGTATATTTTCTTAATTGCCACAAACTTTGGCTTTTGGCGGGTGCGAGAAGAAACGGAGTTGGACCGGGAATTCCTGAGGGGAGGAGGTCTCCATTGGGTTTCTAACGCGTCTATATCCCAACGGTTCTCGTACCGATGATATTGTATATCTTCAGCTTTATAGACGGTAGAAAATGTTCCTTCGCCGATGCGCTTTATTAGACGATAGTTATCTTTGAAGTTGGGAAAGGCAGTTTGCAATTTTTCCATGTCATGTTGAACACTGAGGTCGATCTCGTCGCTTTCGTCAGAGGAGTCGGTTTCGCAGCCATCGTCTTCCTCGGCTGGATTTTCTTGTTCTTCATCTTCGCCCCCTTCCCCCAATAAATAGTCGTGGTCATTTTGGTCATCGTGATCGTCGTATTCCTCGTCGGCTCTTCGTGTCTGGCTCTGTGTAGACTCCTCGGTGTCTGAAGTCTGGCCCCTTGGTTGGTCTTGGTGAATCTGGAAGGGCGCCTTGGCCACTCGACGATGGGTGGCAGATGCCATATCTTAATCCTGTAAATTTTCTCTCTTATTCGTTGTCCTCTACCTTCTCCCCTTGAACATAACCCAGGGCGATCCAGTAATATCGTATTCTAAACCGCGATGCTTCGAGAGAACGAGGGAAAGGCATATGCTATG